TCCCTGGGACGACTGGTTGGTTGGTAACCTGGCGCCGATTGAGGAAAAGGGGCGGCGCGAGTACAGACCTGGGAAGGGAACTCTATGAACCAGGGACTTATAAATAGGGACCTCTGGACGGGACGGAGGAGAGGCGGCCGGACAGAGAAGCAGATAGCAGGGAGAACTCGGACGGTATGAGAAGAGGGCAGTCAGAGTTGTGAGATGAGAGAAAGTATAAGCGAAGTGTCGGCCTAATAAAGAACAAGATTATAATCATCAGATGTTATCGCCTGAGTTGTTTCCTTAAGTGAATGCCAGATATAGATGAAGGTTAGCAGAGAGCAAGCAAGGTTTCCTTACAATATAAAGGTAAATAAGTAAAATTTGTTGACCCTGCTCGGTCAGGGTAATAATGCATGAAAGCAACTCATCCCCTATACATTATTTATCCTAAATAAATATTAAAATCTGGGGTGGCCAAGTGCACTACTTCATTATAACAACTAAAATGTAGGGTACCAAGCAAAGCATGAAATACAAATAATACAGTCATATAATAATGCACACTTGTTAATTGACTGTTAATAATATAACCAGACTGGTAAGGAGTAAAACAATTATTCTCAAATTTTCACAAGGTACCGGTACTTAACTCCAATTAGATTTTCAAGTCCAATAATTTTGAATTGGACAAACAGAACAATGTCAATAGCACAGCTTTGGCATTTTTGTAAGAATAAATCTTGATCTTTTCAGTAGATTAGTAGTGTAAGGTCCAACAGTGCGCAGTCTTAGTGTCACTCATAAACCTTTTTGGGATATCATATCAAGCATTTTTGAGGTTATAAGGGCTTATATACCCGATTTCATAGACTTGTGGTCTCTATTATACATAGTTTTCCAGATCCATAACTCTGCCAGTTTGAACAGAGTAAAAAAATGTGCATACTAAATGTATTAAAAAAGATTTTCCTTCAAATTGCACAACAATTATTATAGCACCTGTTACATTTGTATTCACAGAAATATAATAACTTTAATGTTTAAGCTATGTATGCAAAAAAATAGTCATTGATTTGTGACAGCTTAAATATTAGGCTCTATTTAATTCTCAGAAGTCATAAACATTGTTTTTCGTTAGTTAATCATTACTTTTGGGCGGTTCAATCCAGGAGCAGATCGAGGAATTGAATTGGTCCGGGTCGCCATGACTTGACCATTTATGTGAAATGCTTTAATAAACCTGGGTCAAGGGTCCAAAATATTCAATTAATTTTGTTAATTTTAATAACAGAAATAAAAATAGTCTTTAAAACAATTTTTTTTTTTTTTAAAGTGAGAGATTACAAAAATAATATCATAATTTGATCATAGGTATTTGAAGACATTTCCATATCTTGCTATGATTTGCCAGGCCCTTGATTATGTGTCCATCTGTCAAGTTGCTGTAATGTAAAGTCACAGTTCCTCAGCATCAATGCTTCCAATTTGTTTTGTTTCTATGAATCTTAGGACATTGGATGACTCAATAAATATTTATAACAAGTTAAGTAAATAATAATGAATTTGCATCTGAATGAATATTAATTATACCTTTTCAGTATGATAATTCTATCCATCTATCCCTGTGGCTGTGGCGCTACAGCCCATGTAGGGCTTTGGCCTGCCTCGCCACTTCCTTCCACTCAGACCTAACTACTTTTCTTTTCCATGCTTGGATTCCCAGCTGCTGTAGATCTTTTTCCACATCATCCATCTAAGCCTAGCACCACCCTAGGTCTGCCTTTGAGACGTTTTTCTTTGGGGTTTTGGTGATGTACAGTCTTCACTCCTCTATCATTTAACATTCTTTCTAAGTGTCCCGCTCAGCGCAGCCTACCCTTTTTTATTTCTGCTACAAGCGTGGGATCCTGATATGGACTATACAATTCCTGCTTGTTTTTTTTTTCTGCATCCATATTCATCCTTTGTTGGTCCATATAATTTCCGGAGAACTTTTGTCTCCCATGTGTTTAATAGGTTTCCTCTGGTTTTTTTAGGGTCCAAGGTTCACTTGCGTATGTTACAACTGGTCTGATTACAGTTTTATAAATAGTTTTCTTTGTTGCTCTTGTAAGGTTTTTACTTTTGAGTATTTTCTGACTACTTAAGTTTAAGTACGGTATGCAATGTTTCCGGATGATATTCTTTCTTTTATTTCTGTTATTAATTTGTTTCTTTCATTTAATAATGATAATTCTAATAATTTACAAATGTCCCCTGTAGTGGCTGTAGTAATATTTTTGGTCTGCTAAATTCTGTACCGGTATCTAAGATCTTTATTTCCATAATTTTCCTAAACATGGTATTTGTCACTTACATTTCTAGGCTAATTTCAGTGACTTCTGCTGTAGAGATTTCTCAAATAGAAAAATTAAGAAGCAGACTCTAGTTCTAGTTGTCCTTACTTCTGCTGCGTTGAATTGCAAGATTTTTTTGTTAAGAAATTTGAATGTTTCATTTCATGCAGGACTCATCGACATCAAATAATTCAAGGTCATCAAAATTCCTAAATCGACACATGCCAACTTACTACAGCTTACTTATTTTGTTGTCTTTTTAATTTAAAAGCTTTAGTTTAGTTTACTGTTACACAGTATAATTCAATGACACATTTTTTTCATAGGGTGTAGTGTAGTGGTCATTGCAAAGAAGCTGTATTGTACATTTAACATTCAATTCACAGCCACAAGGTGTTCTTAAATAAAGTGTAAGTGTAAAGGGGTCAATAAAGGAGTAAAGTGCAATGGATAAGTGGTGGGAAAGGTCTATATTCTAAATACATTGACATGATATAGCATAGATAGTAAATAGTAGTTAGTACCGGTAGTAGAAAACTGACACTGACCCAAGTTCACTAACTAAGACGTCTACTACACACTAAACTAAGTTAAAGAGTAAGAGACTAAGAGTAAAAGTGCGTGCAACATGTGGTATCAGGCTCTGTCAAAAGAATGTTCAATTATCTCTTAACTTACTATAAATGCACAAAACTACGAGGGTTCGCTAATCACCCAGGCCTGCTCAATAATTTGATCGACCACTTGTATTTTATTGAATACACATTGAAGGAACATACGTAAATAATTTGGACTATTTAAAAACTCTAATTTTAGTAACGAATATAATACTAATTCATACACTTATATTTAAAAATAAAATAGCTAGCATTAAATTTTAAAAATAAAATTATGTAAATAAAATGTTTTTATAAGACTATGTATTTGGAGATTACTCATCTAAAATTGACTTTGTTCTAGAAATGTTAGAGCTTCCCTTATGCCTATGTTTCGATAATGAAAATGGTTGAAGTTTTACATTAGCTGGTTCCTACATGGCTACCAGTGACGCTAAAAATCAAAGTAAAACAAGTTTTCAGCTTCTTTGACAATCTTTTCATTTAGTCATTTTGTGCATTCTTATTTGCTCGTAGTTGTATTAGTCTTATGGTTGATTTTAGCAGTTTTTATTTATACTGTCATGCATTCAATCTTATATTTAAAAAAATATTTCTACTTACCGGTACCTTTTATAAATATTAAAATAAGACATCAAAGACATAAGAATTGATTTAAATTTAAAATATACGAAGCATATATTATAATATTATAATATATTGATATATTATATATAATATATATTTAATTAAAATGCTATAAATATGTTATTTTTCTTGTTTTTTCCTTTAATAATTAATAATTTTTCCAATTTTAATGTTCATGATTTTTATAACATACCCTCGCCTCAAATACAATTATCCAAGATAAAAAGTCTTAATGATAATGGAATGTAAAAGTATAAGTTTAGTTATTCTTAGTTTTAGATTGGGAATGTCTCCTCAAATTTGGTGCAATTATCTTTAAAAAAAAAAATGATATGGTCAAAATAGTGCAGAAAAGTGAGTCTCAAGTTTTTTGGGTAAAATTTATAGTTTATATAAGTATAAGGTTATTAAAAAAATACCAAAATTATGACTCCACTTCTATAAGAGATAGAAGTGATATACCCGGTATCCTTTTTTGGTAATCAGATCTTATTTAACATTTCTGCCCATGTAAGTACCTATATCGATACTGTAACATATATCAAGTTGAAGAAAAGTTGAGATTTGACTACAACTTCTAAAATTGTTTTACTTTTTAAAGCATTTTTTTAAATCTTTCAGCTGGAAGAGAAAATGAACAATACTGCTGTGTCACTTGATGAACTTTCTTTTGAGCTTGCAGACACAAATGCTCAGAATGAGCATGTTGAAGTCATCTATAATGTTTCAAATACTGTGATGTCTACAGAGACAGAGGTAATTATATTTTTGGGATAGAATTTAACATGATTTAAGTCAATTAACAGAATTCACTTCCTAAAAATTAAATTTGTTTATTTTTAAATTCTATTGTCTACAGGCTAATGAAAGCTATGAGAATGAAGAAAGAGATTCAGTAATATTATCTGGTAATAAGTTGCAACAAACAGCTGTTTCAGAATTTGAAGACTGTAAAACAGATGTTGCTCCCCATTTATTGTTTACTAGTTCAAAAAATATTGAATCAGATGACTCAGATGCAGAATTTATAATTCCTGAGCGATCTATATCTTTATTTGTGGAAAACCAAAATCATCCTGAGGTCTTAACTGCTGAAATTTCCACAGCAGCTAAACAATCAGATGATTCAAAGGAATTGAACAGAACATTACTCAACACTTTCCATCCACAACCTGAGGTTCTTATATCCCAGGAACAGTTAACTTCAACTGATTTATCTAATTCAACATTCCCTACTTCTCATGGTATAGAGACTTCTGTTATATGTGATGCAAACAAATCTCACGTTGTTATTGAAAACTCATTGCTTACAACAAGCTCCCTAAGTATCACACCAAATAAAGAAATCCAGGAGCAAAACCAACTTCAAAAGCCTCAGATTGTTACAACAGCAGAGGACTGGGAAGATGTTCAAACAGTTGAGCCAGGTAAAATTACTTTTCAAAATCCTCTAAATGAAATTCAGAGCGATCACATGATTTTTGGAGGCCCCTTACCACTTTCAGGTTTTGGGCCCTCTTCGTTAAAAAAAGTGAAACATTTCATATTATTTATTGATGGCTCACTTAAATTTAAGACGGAACATGCTGCTTTTTGCATGTCGTGAAAGCTTCAATCAATTTAGTGTAATTAAGCTCAGCACTTAGTTCATGTTCAACAAATATCATTGATGATCAACAAAGCCTCTCTCATCTTAACTCAGTGGCATAAACAGACATTGTGTTGCCCGGGCAGTCTTAAAGTTGGTTCCCCCCCCCCCCCCCCCGAAAAAAAACTAAGTAGTACATATTAAAAAAAAAAGTTTTTGACCATGAGGCATGGGACTACTGAACCTCTATATTTTTATGTAACAAGTGACATAATTCTTTTCCATCACATTTTTCCCCCTGATGAATTCTAGACGAGCCCATAAGTAATACATTTGGTGAATAATACAATCTATTAGAATTGGGGGTTCCTAAAATTGAACCATACAATTTCTACAAAGATAGAATAATTTAAATTACCATTTAAACTTTTCCAGAGATTATTGAACTGAGTCTAGAATTAAATAGTACTTCCATTTTTATTCATACAAGGCCGCATTTAAGAAAGTATGCTTGTCTGCCAAGTTTTTTTTCATTTTTGCATATTTTATTTAAACTTGTGTTCTTTTTCGCCCAGGAAGTGTTTTGAGCCAACTGATTTGTTGTTTTGTTTTATTATTTTTCCAAACTATTTATTTTCTGTCATCACTATGTTATAAAAAGAAAAACACTTTGAAGCCAACCACACTAGTTTTGGTGGCTGGTTTTTAATTTTTATTCATTTTTTTTCTCCCCATATTTCAATGACCTTAGTCTGAATAAAAGGAGATTTCATGTTTTTAGAATTTAGCTAATTTTTTTTCCAGTTCCAAACTTACAATTTTAACAAAATTAAAAGGGGAAAATATGTGTGTCCATGTGTTACATTTTTATTCCCCCCGCCCAAAAATAAAAAGGGGAAAAATGTTTGTTCCCTGTTTTTATTTTTTTTCCCCCCCCCCCCCCCCCAAGAAAAATCATTTCGTTGCCTGACATGCTACCCTCACTCCCCCCTGGGTAAAACCCCCCAAAAAACTGGCCAACATGCCATGCCATAATGCTTCTTGAGTAGTTGGCTATAGAAAGAGCCAGTCAAAGGAAAAGCAGCGCTCAGGGTGGACTAGTAAGATGATTTTGGTGCCAGTGTCTATTCGATGTTAATGGGATTTTATCATTTAATTCACTATTAAAGGCAGAAGGCAAACTTCAATGCACAAACTACAAAGGAATCTCCCTATTAAATGTTACATAAAAAATACTGACGAAGCTTATTGTCAAAAGACTACAACCTTAAACTGAAGAAATACTAGGTGATTACCAATATGGATTCAGGCCTAACAGATCAACGACTGATCAGATTTTCGCCATCAGATGCCTATTAGAGAAATGCTATGAATACAATATACCAGTACATCAACTGTATGTGGACTATACAATGGCCTATGACAGCATCAAAAGAAAATATTTATATGAGACTGCAGGAGTTTGGGATACCCAACAAACTGACAAGACTAATACATGTAACACTAAACAACTCAAAAAGCAAAATCAAGATAGATTCAAGGAGATATTCAAGGGAATTTCAGATTAGACAAGGCCTACGACAGGGAGACTCACTGTCTTGTATGCTTTTTAACCTAGCATTAGAGAGAGTTATGAGAAACATAAACATTGACACTTGAGGAACGATAACAGGATACTTTCTGAGGGAAATTGAAGACCCACAACCAACTGGCACACTCTTCAAACAAACACATCGGTATCTTGCATATGCTGATGACAAAGCACTGTTAGGGAAAAGTATTAAAGACATATCAAAATCCTTTATTGAATTAGAAGAGGCATCTCTACGAGCAGGGCTGGAAGTTAACACCCAAAAAACAAAATACATGACCATGATAAGAGAAGAACAAACAGATGAAGCAATTAAAATTAAAAACCAGACTTGTGAAAAAGGAAATCAATTCAAATACCTAGGATCTTTGTCAAATGAAAGAAACGAATTACTAACAGAAATAAAAGAAAGAATATCAGCCGGAAACAGGGCATACTTCAGTAGTCAGAAAATGCTCAAAAGTAAAAACCTTACAAGAGCAACAAAGAAAACTATTTATAAAACTGTAATCAGACCAGTTGTAACTTATGCAAGTGAAACTTGGACCCTAACAAAAACAGCAGAAAATCTATTAAATACATGGGAGAGGAAAGTTCTCAGGAAAATATATGGGCCAACAAAGGATGAATATGGATGGAGAATACAAGCCAACCATGAATTATACTGCCTGTATCAGGATTCCACGATAGTAGCAGAAATAAAAAGAGGCAGGCTACGCTGGTCAGAACACCTAGAGAGAGTGCCAAATGACAGAGGAACGAAGAGGGTGCATCACCAATACCCCAGTGGAAAAAAGCTCAAAGGCAGACCTAGGCTGAGGTGGATGGATGATGTGGAAAAAGATCTACAGCACCTGAAAGTCCAGAGCATTGAAAAGAAAGGCATTAGTTAGGTCTGAGTGGAAGGAAATGGTGAGGCAGGCCAAAGCTCTACATGGGCTGTAGCGCCACAGGGATGGATGGATGGATTAAAGGCAGATGTAAAGACAACTTTGGAACCCTGTGATGTTGGCGCCAGGGGTGATTGGCCCTCTTGCCCCCTTCTTTGCACGACCCTGAATGCATTACTCAGTGCATAACTTTGCCCAGGGCCCCTGCTGATGTAAAGACCCTATGTCTTATGAACCAGTAAATTTATTTCTGAAACCATGAATAAAACTCAGACAAAGTCAGGTACAGGAAAACATTTTCAGTATGAGTATCTGGCACAATGTATTCATGGATTCCAGGAAATTTGTTCAAAAACAAATTAGCTCCACTGGAAATTTATTAGCATTCATTTTTTAAAAAAATATTAGAGTAATTAAGTTATTGGTGAATAGAGTAAAAATAATGCAACTATTATAAATTAAAATTATGGCCCCAAATAACATATATATTAAGAAATATTGAAATTAGAAGAAGCTGTGACACTGCATAAAGTATGCTTGCAAGAGATTATTATGTTTACATCAGAATAAATTATTACAAACTTAATTTGAGGAAAAAGTAGCCAATCAAAATGCTTAGTATATTCAAAGTTCATGACAATCTTTTGTAATACATGGGAAACTTCAAAATTTGAAATTACCAATGTCATAACAAATAAACAGCTTTTTAACCATACAAATTATGATTGATTGGTCACTGCCAAATGATCTTAAGAAAGGGCCATTAAAGACACATTGCATTTTGGAAATTCTTATTTTTAGCTGTTATACAGGGTCATGATTTTTTTATATCTTATCCAATTTTCTAACTTATTTTATTTGTAAAAAATTGTTGTAATTTACTGAAAATATGGTCAATGAAACCAAAAATCACACAAATAAATTTATTAACAAGTTTAAATATGTCCCAGGTCTATCCATCACCATATTTTAGCAAACATAAGAGAAGGAATAAACAAATTTATTGTAGACCAATTTCCTTGTGTAAAAACTAATAGTTTTAACAAATTTCCAGTCGAGAAAATTACTGTTCTAAAAAATTTACTTTCTAACAATATTCATTTGAAAAAAAACTTAGTGTTTCCTCATCATAAAATCCATTATTAGCTTTTTAAAATCTAGATTTAAATTAAAATCGAATTGTTCTTATACATTTTTCCCTCCTCAGGCATATTCAACCCTAAAGAAGGCATAGCAGGTTAGTTGAAAACCCAAATTAAAGTGCACAATTTTGAGTAATGCATGCATCATTCTATGAAAAATGAAGTAAGGGTTTTTATTAGTTGATATTAGTTAAATTAGCCTAAGAATACATAGCTCAGAAATGTAAATAGGAGCCAAAATGATCAATAAATTGATCGTGGGCCCTTAAGATATAGAAGAAGAAATAAATTTATTTGAACTTTTATTTGTTATAAAATTGGTAATTGGTTTTCCTTTTTGAAATGCAGCTCCAGTTTCTGACTTTGAATCAAAACCTTTGATAACTTATACCGAGGCATGGTCTCATTTTGAGTTATGTAACTACTCCAATGTCAAGGTAGATTATAAAGATTTTTTATGCAAATAATTTTTATCTCTTTAATGCTATCATCTGCTATCAGCTAAGGTATTTCATATTTTAAACTTAAGTCTAAGAAATAGAAATAGTTATTTATTGCAATAGATATCATTTGCCACGTGATGTAGTAAGTTTTAAAATTATTGCATTCTGTTAGGGAACCTCCCCCGGCACGTGTTTTACCCATTTTACTACCAAACTGCTGTTAACTATGCAATCAGACACTGTGTCCAAAAAAGAAATGCACTTTTATTCTATACAACTTTTTAAAAATTATGTGGTTTCTAATTTAAGGAATTGTAAAATAAAATAAAAACAATAGAAAATTCAATTTGAAATAGAGGCACTCAAAAGAATTTAATACAAACTCATATTTAGCTTATGTTATTTTCACTTCCCTTGCAGGGTCAAATTAAAACTTCTATTGAAAGACATGGATTTACAGCATTTATTCATTTGATTTTTGGGCCTCCAAAACTACACAAGGAACTACTACCACGGAGAGATATAGTCTTTTGTATTGCAGCCAGTTAGTATTTTGTAAAATTACCAGATTACTTATTTTTATCTAACAACCCACCCCTACAACATCATATTCATTTTTGCCAGCCCCCATGCCTCCCCTTTACCCCTGCTCTCTCTCCTAACATCAAGACTCTTTCCCAAGCTTTTGTTTATTTATGTTTTGTGTGATTATTTGAATATGGTCAATTTATAAATCAATTTATTATCAAAACTCTCAAAATTGTTGTTACCCGGTACCAGGTATTATTGTTTTTACAACATGGCTGATAGGATTGTGCATGTTCAGTGTTATTTTAGGAAAAGAATACATGAGGACACAATTCACTGACAATGTGATTAATTCATCTAGACTACAACCAAGAAGATTTTTTTCAAATAAAAGTTGCTTAATATTTATACTTTAAGGTGCCAAGAATGATAGTCACCGTATATAAATAAAGTTCTTTTACAAATGCTAATCAATATTTATGTTTTGAAATCTTGACTTATATAACTTATTTTTCCCTTTGTATTTTCCTCACCCCAATTGTTTCAGAAACCAGTGGGGTGCTCATCCTCCCTGGCTTATCCCCATTTTACTCTACCATCAACACACTCACCACACCCACTTACCACCCAATACCTTTTACCATGCACCTTACACAGGCTCTTATTAATAACAATTTATGAATGTGCATCATTTAAAAAAAATTTCCACCCAATAAAAGTATCAAAAAATACCTTCAGCATCAAAGATAAATAAACTTTTTACAAATATTATTTTATTATTGTTTCAGCTTCATTTCAAAATGAAAATCCTATTCACCATCAAGTTTTGCAAGCAATCTACCGTTGTTTAACAGGGTCAAAATTTGAATGTCAACGCTATGGTAGCCACTGGGAAGAAATTGGCTTTCAAGGTGATCATTTATTGATATTCAATGCTCACTTTTATTAATTTATATAGCTTAGTTTTAAATAAATTTGTACATGTATTATGTTTAAACTGTATATAAATAGAGGATTTACCCTAGGAGTGTAACTGATAACAAAAATTTTCTTTTCAACTTATTATTTAAAACAGGGCTCAGCAACTTTTTTTCTCTTGCGCACATCTAAACCCTTCTCAGAAATCTGCGGCACACCCTAAGTAAAAATCATGCCATATAATTGCTGTTATTTATTTGGTTAATTATTTTATAAATCAAATCAAATTTGCTATCATTCTTTTAGGCACTATCCCTTTTCATTTTAATGACAACAGATTAAAAAAATTGTTTATATAAAAGAAGTTTTTGATTGTAGAAGAATCGCATTGTGTAGTTGGAAAGTCCAGGCTGCTTTACAGTTTTGTCATTCCTCAATTCCAAAAAAAAAATATTTAAATAAAGCTTCCCTGAGACGTTTTGGTGATGATATACTAAAGTGCTCTGGTGTTTCATTGCTTGCTCCTCATTAACTGTAAAAACTATTGGTCAATTTTTACATTTTTCTTATTTAGATTTTGATCAAAGTCTGATTACCCTTTTGAGTCTTTGTGTTAGTGGTCAAGTTGATTTTTTGATTCATGACTTATGATTATTGCTATAACTTTTTTTTACTAATGGTGAATTTTCTGTCTGAGCTAGTTTAATTTATTGGAGAATGTTAGTAAATTCTTATTCGGTCCTGCATTTTGTTAAATTTCATATCTATTTTCAAACACGTTGAACCAAAGTCATGTGTCCAAGATTTGCTGCCTGTGTATTATCTTCAAGGAGCTGGTGTTGGTCAAACATGTTTTAACTGAAATAATATTGACTGATTTCATGGCAGAGCGAAAAATAATTGTACAAGATTTTTGTTTAATAAACATTTTTCCAATATATTTTTTTTCAAACAATTAAGTAACTTGGTAACTAGTTACCAAAGCAAGACATATTGCTTTATTGCATCTGTATAAGATTTTGACTTGAAATGCACATATTATATGATACATACCTGCAAATGTTTGACAGCTGGGTAATTAGCTAAACAATGTCTCTTTTTCATGAACATTATTTATTCTATTGATGTGCAAACCATATACTCTGTGCTATTTAGCTTATGCCATGGTGCACCTAGCATCATCTTGCAGTGCACCAATGTGCTGCTTTATTTCAGAATGAGAAACAAAATGGTGTAGAGATGATAAAAATGGCATAAAATGAACACCTAAAATTATGATGTATAAGAATAATAAAAAATTTATGATATAATTTAACTTAAATATTTTTATAACATCATTTCACATTACTGTACACGTAGCATCCTCAACTTACGACCAAATCGTGTTATTGTCTTTCTTCAGGTTTTTCCCTACCCTGTATATATTTTTTGCTATTTATAATCAGCAGAGTTTAAGCAATAAGATACATAAATAATAAAATTTTCATAAAACTGTTTGTATTAAACATTGATCCTTATAAAATATAAAGTGATAATTGAGTCTTTTTATTTTTAATTTTGTATGAATTAATGGTTATGATTTTCTCAGGGTGTGATCCTGCTACTGATCTTAGAGGAGCTGGAATGCTTGCTCTATTGCATATTCTGTACTTTTTGAGGGATCCTAAAACTAAAGAACTTGCTAGAGAAATATACAAGCTTTCCTTACATCCTACTCAGGTAGATAATGTCAACCATAAACAAATAAATACTGATACAAAAAAAAAAATGGTCAACTCATGTGAAACGTGCCAAAGCGTCCTTGTTTTATAGCCATTTTAATTGTTTCTATAGTATAGTAGTTACTATCTTAGTGTCTCATTTTTTTAAATATTTTTTTTATTTTATTTTACTTAGTTTACATGTTTTTAATAATTGTAAAGCGCTTAGAGCTTTAAGGTAAGCGCTATATAAAAATGCCTAAATAAATAAATAAACCAGGGACATCATTTGAGTAGGGTAGGGTGGGACATTGCCCCCCCCCCCCCCCCCAATTTGCAGGTTTTATTTTAATTTCAATGTACTGTGGCACCTCCAGTGATAAAAAAACTTAACAAGCCAACAAAGTTTTGGTTTTTCTCCCCCCCCGCCCCCCATCTGAAAAAACTGAAATGATGCCCTTGTCGGAAGCCATAGGCAAAAGACAAATGTGCTTTAAAAAAGCATTAAAAAAAAATATGACAAGTCATTCTCTTGTATATTTGATATTTCTGCAGAATTTTCCTTTCTGTGTGATGGGTATCAATTTGTCAAGAATATGTTTGCAAGTATTACGAGAGGAAGTCTTTAATAAGTAAGTTTCCAAAATACAACTTATCAATAACTTTTCTTATGGTCCAAGTATTGTGTGAATTATTTTTCTTTCATTTTCCATTCTTAGGGAGTGCAACAAACATAAAGATGTGATGGGGACAATTAATGAAGTATATGCATCACTTTTTCTTTACCTCTACAACTTGTGGAAAAGAGGAAAAACGATTGCAGATTCTGGTTTTGTCCTACAAGGTTAGTCAAGATTCTTTTATTATATTAGCTTCTAAGTAGGACATAACGACCAAAATATGTTTTTTTAAATGAAAAGGTTTATTAAATGCTAAATATGGCTATTGTAACCTAAGACTGACTAAAGAATACAGAGAGATAATGCTTGACTTGATTAGCTGCTCTTTAATAGAAAAAATAAATATATCATAGAATCATAGTATATAATGTACAAGGAATTAGATCTAATTTAAATTTTATCAACATATTTTGGTTTGAAATATGTTGATAAAACTTAAATTTCTTATTGTATTTTAAAATTTACAATACAATAAATTGCTTAGCCTTCATAACAGCCACAATGAGAGAAGCGTACATGTCCATTTTAGTACCTACTAAAAAGTACATGTAACAAGAGATTTTACCTTATTGACGCAAAAAATGAAGACATATTTTATCTTCTAGAGTTGGAGATATATAGCCGCAAGCATTCCAAAACTATTTTCAAAGATTTTGAAACCAATGAGAAAATGCGCAAGCAAAAAACCTCAATGGGAAATTCTCCATCTACTGAACCCACTTTCTTCAGTGTTTGTAAAAAAGAAGATGGTGATGAGAAGTCTCCTGCAGAACTCTACTGAGCTAAGTCAATGCCAATAGATGATTTTAGAGATTAATAGCTAGAATTTTATTCAATATTTTATTATAGGTACATTCATGTCATTTAACTATTTTCAAATTTGTGATACTATTTTGTTTAATAATTTACATTGTTTACTTATAATGAATACCAACTTGAACATTTTAAGCTTTATCTTATCTTCTTCTATATCTTAAGGGCCCATGATCAATTTATTGATCATTTTGGCTCCTATGCATGTAGATGGGATTTGCAATGTTTCTCTTACTGGTGTTGATGAGGAAATCATGAACTAGGGGTTTAAAGGCTGGAGGTAATAGACACAAATGTGTCTAGTGTTGTCGCCTCAACCGTTCCTTTTGAAAGATTGTTCCAGTCCCTGATTGTCTTGGGCAGGAATGAGCAGCTCCTATACTGGCTTCTTGCTGGTAGGAGCCTGAATTGCCTGTCATGGCCTCGTCGCTGTCTATGAGGGAGAGGGACGAGTTTCTGTTTAATACTGGAACAGTGGACCAGCCCATTATTTATCCTTATGGATGAACATAAAAACTAACTTGAAAAATATTACTGAATTTTCTTTTATAGCATTTTATTCAAAATATTTAATTGATCATATGTACGCCTGTATATATTTTTTGTGTGACTATTGAACAGATCTTATTAAGATACTTATTCTAATTCAACTGTGATTTTGGAGAAAAATGAAAATTCCGAGCCATCATTTTATATTTTCTATATATTTGATGCTTTTACAAAAATCAAAAGCCAGATTAAAATACTGTAATAAGATATGCCTTATTATTGGGCAACAAATATTATTGTCCTTGGTTAATATGAAATAGTTAATGAATTTCTGCTGTGATGCTAAGGACCTTGAGGAAGATGAAGTTACGAATGCAAAAAAAATATTTAAATTATGGTTTACAATTGCCAATAATAGCATTTTAATTAGGGGTGTTAATATAATTTTTTTTTTGGCAATCCGGTTATTTCTTTTTGAATTTCATTTTTAAACCAACTTATCAGCTTTTACAATGCATTCCCAGCTGCTCCACACAGTAGCATTATATTTTATAAGATCGTAAGTTGCATTTGAAACATTGATGTTTTATTAGAACTTAATGGGCAGTTGAGAGTGTATCAATTTTTAGAAGCAACTGATTTAGTTTGATACTTCAGTTGGGTACCATCACATGACCCTCGGACCCTGTGCATTAGTTATCAGATGCAAAGCATAAACTGAAGAACCTATATTTATATTATCACTTTCCAACGGGACAAACTTTATAATTAATAAATTTAGCAGAATGAATGCCTGGGAAAAAAAATCAACCTCAGATACTTGGATGATAGAGAAAATCATCTATTTTTTAAAAGACTTGTATTCCCTGAAAAATATATCCCAATTTCCAAATATTTTTATAAAACTGAAAATGAAAATTAGTTTCATATAAACATGTAAATAAACTTTTGAAAAATAATTTTTTTGGAATATCAAAACAATTGAATGTCTTTTAATTTGATTAATAAGATATTTTACTTTTTCTTTCGGCACGTAGGGTTAATTGACTTCATCTTACTAAATTGAATAGTCTCATTCTTTCTTTTTTTCTTCAAGAAAAAAATATTTTTCTCACACTACCGTACTTTTAAAATATATTTTGATCAAGTGATTTTGTCTGAAATTATAGAGATTTGAAATTATTGTCCTATAATTAACAGAAATTACAAAAGAAATTTTAACATATATTTATTTTGTCATTCTTTTCTTTGAGCATCAACAATATTGTTTACAAATTTTTTGAAAATATAGAACCACATTAACAAAAAAATATTGAAATAAATTTTCATGTTGAAATTAGTCTTAACGCAGTAGCACTTAGGTGCAATTATTGCTGGCATTGATATTAATCTTAATGATAATAATGTCCTCAGGAATGTGCCCTTTCCTCTTACTTTTAAATATTTTAAATGCCAAAGACACATTAAAACTTTTTTCTGCTCTACCCATAAATATATTCTTACAGTTAATTGTGATTGAATTTTTTTAAAAGACAAAAAAGCAACAAAAAAAACAAACAACTGTGACGTTAAATTTTATCTATTTTATCTATGAATAAACAGTTTGTATTAAATGTTATTTATTGTTGTAAAGCTAAGTGCTCTCTATCTAGTCAATTGATTCTAAATGTAACTGTTCTACTTAATGTATAATCTACACAAGTTAAACGTCTATAAATATAACAATAATTTTACTATAATTATTTTTTGTTTGTCTTTCCTGCCACCAAGAATCAATGTTCTTCTATTAGATAATTAGATAATTAGTTTTGAGTGATAAACTATGGGAAAATTTAAATATTTTTAGATAATTAACTTTTTTTTTTGTTTTTTGGTTTTTTTGGTAAAAGTTTTAAAATATTTGTAAGTGCATTATATTGTGCTAAAATTAAGTGTAATGGTATTTTTTTTAATTTAAATTTTTTATGAAACAAATTTGTACTATTTGAAAGTATTTGAAGTATAAATTTGTATCTAGGATTTATTCTGGAAAAAGAATATGTTTCTGTTTACAATTGAAGATAAGATAAGATGCTTTTATAATCCAAATAAAAAGAAATTTGTTTTTATTGCATTGCACATATTGTTTTCAGTCTAATCTTCAAAGTCTTTGTCTTCGTTTTTAAAAGTAATTCTTAATGAAATAATTAATTTCTTTAAAGAAAAAAAAAATTCTCCTTATGTTAAGCATGAAAAAACAAAACCTGGATTAGTTTCTAAAAAATGTATTCATTATTCATAACAAAATTCTTCATCCAGTGTTAAAAGTTAAATCCTTAGCCAAATCTTATCAGTTTAAATTACTAATAAAATCCTAACAATCTTAAAAAAATAACACCAAAAAAAACTCAAACCCTAAACTCTAGTAAAAATCATTTGGTGACATAATTGGTCCCCAATAATTGTGTGTTATATTTTTAATTAGAATCTTAATTATATTTACATGTTTTGACATGACATTGTTGAGCTGAAATTTTTCTAGGTTTACATTAGATTGATCTGATCAGCCCACAGGAAGTTGAAATTTACTACACTGCTTGGTCTCGCAGTACATTTAAAATAAAAATTTCAAAATCCTTCTTGTTTAAATCCAAGTTTTTTTTTACATTAGTGGTAAGATGTCGATAAATATGAAGGATGTTGTGACATTTTTTTGATAGATGTGTTCCTAAGACTGTGTAGGGTGGAAATGCATTTCGAGCCATGGGAAATGCCTGGATCAGGAGTTTCGGGTGGTCCAAGGAAAGTGTTGGAAGTGTCTTTTGGTGGTTTACTACCAATAGCTTCTAGGGAGAACGTGAATGTTTGGTATTGAATGGCTTAGAAAGAACCATGTCTGGGTTGCGCTTTTGACGGGCCAACCTACTCGCTTGTTTGTGTTTTGTTTTGGTTATATCTAGTGCTGTTGGGTAATGGCACCCAATGTGGATGAAGGATATGGCTTGTTCTATCGGGATATGGTCCCTAAATGTGGAGGACGACTTTGGATATGAGTTCTGCTAGCAAAATGATGGCTGAGTCTTCCACGTACCTTGCTGTTGTGGCACTTGGTCAGGTCTCCACTGTGGATGAAGGCCACTGCTGGTCTGGTGTTTCCCTTTGGAAGTAGGCTATGGCTGTGGCAGATACATATGGCTCATATGGCTCTTTTGACAGATCCCCGCTGTTGCGCATAGCTAAAGTACTGGGAACCCACAATGGTGGATAGTAGGTTGTCTAGAAGTACGCACCCTTGCTATGGCCACAGAAAACAAAGTCAGAATCTAGGACTCACGTTTCTTTCTCCTAGCCCCTACAAGGCTGACGTGAAGTGTGAAGTCAAAAATAACTACGGGACGTTTAAAAGTTTGGGTTCTTTATTAATAGGCTAGGTGTGCCTACGGTCCAAAAATTGCATGCAAAATAATTACTGGCGTTCAGAATAAAACAATGCGAGTGGGGAAAAAAAAACAACAAAAAAACTACACATCCTATCACAAACTATCATAAATACTTAACACCTGGCAATAAAATATTAACAATTCAATCAGTGGCATAGCTAAGGTTTACCGGAGCGGTAAACACAATGTGTCACCCACCCTCCGACTCCCACGATGGATTTTTTTGTGTGGTTAAAATAAATCCACAGTACAACAATGACAAGAACAAAAAACAAAATTAATTGAAGGTCAGGAGGTAGGCTAAATGTATTTAAGAACTCTAACAACGTGAAGTTCTTGTTATTTTTTAATTAAATTTTACTTTATTTAAAATTTTCCTTTCCTGGTCTTCAAAGCTGTAATTCTGTCAATCACTTGATTTTGATCAAAATCAATATAATAATATATA